GCATCACATGATCAGAAATTGAGAAAATTCTCAAAGGACATTTTGTTGTTGATCATATGGATGTTAAGATGAGAATTTTCTTTTAAGGAAACAATAAACATGTAGATAATATTTTCAAGAAGCACCAAGGGGATAGTGCTGTTATTTATAATGCTTTCGAAATATTTATAGTGCTTTTATTTAACTATAATTTTTTAGGTGACTGATCTAACTATAACTCAGGACTTGTGATAAGAAACTTAAAAGTCTTAAAGGTATTTGACATCCTATGAGCATCAAAGTTATAATAACATAAAGAAATGATAAAGTTATTCGCCTAATACTACTCTGTTCCCTGTTTAGTGGGCATGCCAACAGACTTAATTTGGTTATGTTTACAGTGGTTCAATTTTGAGAATTCACTAATATATGTTTAGGTCATTTGCTATTTCATCCATCACCACCTCAATTTCACCCTCGTACGTGCAAATCTCAACATTTCGGTGCCTGTCTACTACACTGTATTCCTCTTCTTATCCTACGCCAGACCCTCTTCCAATGGGTGGAGAGGACCAGACGCCATCATCTTCTCTTTTGCTTGAGAAACAATTTGAAAGTTTTTGTGCTCAGTTAGATGAATCTGGAAGCTTGCGGGAGAGAATTCGTGGTGTGGCAATGGAGATTGAGTCCACAACAAGGCTTATGCATGCTGGTCTTCTTCTTGTTCACCAATCTCGTCCAATTCCTGGTAATGAAATCAGTGCTTCGGCTTTAATTTTGTCTTAGCTTTTAATTATTTTTCCTGATTTAGCATTTTATGTGAATGCTTATATTAAATTTAGATACTTTTCTCAATAACCAATTTTTTTTTGTTGATATGTTGTTTATATGGAGCACCGTTAGAATCATATATTTTTTTTCACAATCAAATGGCGTAAAACTGTCATTAAGAAAAAGTAAGGAGTTTATAAGGAGGGAACTGTGGAAATGACTTTTCATTTTTTTATGATTTGGAGTAGAGGTTTTGGAAAAAGCCAAGGCTCAAATTGGTTTACTAAAGCAGCTATACAACCGGCTTGCTGAAGTCCTTTCTGAATACCCTGGACAATATTACAGGTGAGATTTAGAAATATATTGTGTTGGTTAAATATTGTGTTGGTTATTGAAGCTGGCGATTGCATTTATGCTTAGGTATCATGGTGATTGGAGGAGTGAAACACAGACAGTGGTCTCGCTGCTATCTTTTATGCATTGGTTGGAAACAGGAAGTCTGCTCATGCATACTCAAGCTGAGGAAAAACTTGGACGTATGTCGGGTGCCTTGATTTTTGTTTCTTTCTCCTAAGAGTGTAGTTTGCATTCCATATTTGTGCATTTGAACAGTTGTGGGAGTTCTCTGGTGATCATTATTTTCTTCCTTTTTCTTTCTTCCATTGAATGATGATACATTATTGACAATTTATTATTTAATGCCTTGATAATAAATGACAGGAATTTGTTTATTTGATTCAGAAATATATGTTTCTTCATTGTTTTTGACAATTCATAGGTCTTCTTTTCCAACCAATTTGAAATTTTTAATGTTTATTGATTTCATTTTTGAGGGTTGAGCACCCCTTGGATAGGATCAGAGACCTGTGATAGGTTTCTATCTGAAGAAGACTTGGACAGGTTATAGTAATGTTGCCTAAATAGTATAAGGCCATTACATTTTGTCCATGGTGACAGACTCTTCGTGCCTTATGGCTTTTCCTATAAAACAGTTTATATTTAGATTTCCAAATCAAAGTATGAGTTCTTTGCATAAATTCTTCTTAAAAAATGAGTTCTTTGCATAAATTGATGTGATTTATTTGTATTAATAAAGGAGAGGTTATTGTTTTCCACATTTTTTTTAGCGTGCTTCATTGTTTCTAGTGCTTGAATATAGGCACTTGCGTAAAATTTATGGCCTAATTCATTAGATGTTTATCCTAACTAATGCTAGTACAAAACTGAAATTGACTGTTAGATCTTGGGGCCTTTTTTATGAAGCAGTTTAAATGCCTTAAGATGGCTTATACTGGTCCCTTATGAGGCAAGTGAAAAATTTGAAGAACCAACTTAAAAGAAAATACTTAGTAGTTTATTTTTTCTATGCTCTCTCATCTCTAATTTCAGCTTCCTACTAAACAGTTCCATTTGCTTCACTGATCCAAAGATTGTCTGGAAGAAAAATCTTCATCAGTCGTTATCTAACAATAATGGTTTTTGAGGTCCTGACAGGATTATATTCAGTTGCATAATGGTTTTTGATCTGAGTTTGATTAGGACTTTATATTCCCATTCATACCATTGAAATCTTCTCTATTAGCTATTATTTTATGCTAGTTGGTGCCAATTGCCAAGCCATGATGTCTTTCTTCTATCTGAGGTGGCTGAATGGGAACAAAATACTGTTCTGCACGTGGTGTTAGTCTTTTGCTTCTTCCATTCTCTCCTTTTCCCCCCTTCAGTTAACAATGCCTTCGTTTTACTTGGATATCAATCTTGCAGTGAACAACTCAGATTTCGGATTGGACATTGAGGACTATCTTGTTGGTAAGTTTTGTAACAGATGCAATCAATAGTTGCATTGGAGGTCCCTTCTGTGGAAAATGTGTTGAAATTGATACATTTTTAATTCATTCTTATGATATAAGAGGCAGATTTGTTTTCTGTTTGTGATAGAAGCAAGCATGTTTTACAACTGGAAATATGCATACTTAATATCATCTTCATCTGAAATTCGGTTTAGCTAGGTTTTGAGCAAAGCCCTGTAACAAGTATTTGGTATATACAATTGAGCTGGAGACAGATTGTGTAAATAAAGAAAAAGCTAATGTTTTGGGATGGTAGTGTCTGTATGGCATTTTTGTTGAGGTGATGCTGTCATGGGATTTAGGTTGACGTCCTCTCTTTAGGAGGCTGGGATTTGTTGGTATTTATAATGTTATTATAATGACATTAATTTAGTATTTCAAGTTATCATGCCATATAACTAGGTAGGATTTAAGTTGATTCTACATTCTAGTGCTAAGATTCTTCTTCGAGTTACGGAAATGATTTGATAAATATAATAATTCTTGTAACATTAATCCCATCTATGAGCTTAGACGAGTCAATATCTTGTTAATTTGCATCTGGTCTGTGATAGTTGACACTGTAATTGTGTTTCAGTTTAATGGACATACTGATGTCTCAATTTTTCTTATTTTTCAGGTATCTGTTTCATGTCCAATGAAATGGTAAGAACTATACTCTGAACAAGAGTTTAGTCTAATAATTTTAGTAAAGTGTGGTAAAAATGAGAAATTTTAATGATTGTGAAAGGAATAAAACTAGGATATAAACAGATGTCCTAGTCATGGTTTCAAAGATACCAAA